TTTAAATACACAGTAAAAATTTTATCCTTTGCCTTTGTGTTGATTGCATTTTGGATTGTCAGTCTGAGCACATTTAATGATGTCATAAAAGGTACATAGCAAAATGTTAATGGCTAATGGCAAAATAGTAATTTTACTGGATGTCAATAGCAGTCCTCTAAAATCCATAAATATCTCTATAATACCATATTACTGCTAGTATTCCTTCACATCACAGAAGAAATAATGTGTAAGTGTTTTTTTTAGATCCAAAGAGCAAGTTTGCAGGGGAAGAAATAAGTGAAATAGGGACTAAAGGACTAACAAATGTTCCAAGGCTGAAGTATTGTTTTAGGAGATGTAAAATATTTAGGAAAAACTCAATCTTGTACAGTAAACAGTGTATTGTACAGTATGTGTGGGCACAATTTGTGTTTCCAGTTCTGTACCAGTACGTACAGTACAGTATGTATCCAGGCATTTTCTTAACGTGGAATGTAAATTACCCTACTTCAACCAACAAGCAATTTCAAATTGGCAAAACCCTAAAATCTCTGTATTAGCCGTGTCCTTACCTCAGCTTAAATATGGCAGAGTTGACGAGGGAAATCCTGTGGGTGAAGCTTCACATTAACACATAACATAGTATTTTTACACACCCATCTTTTCCAGTGTTTCTAGTGTACACATCTAATGAGAGAAGTTGATGAAGTTGAGAAGTTTTGATGAAGGAAAGCTAGTGCGGGCTGACAGTCTCCAGTGGTACCTGAGGACTGTGTGTTCTGCAGCCTCAGTGCTGGCAAGGCCCCTCTGTGGCTGTGTTCTCAGGGGCAGTGCTGTTTAAGCCATCTGTTATACCATTGAAGCTCAGGATATAAAACTTTGAAAAGACAGCCAGGAGCCCCCTCCATCTCTTCCGTTCCTCATATCTGTCCAGTCAGCGTTATTGTCATTTGCAGGGTTTGGTCTTACTGTATTTTCTCTTCCTGACTGTTTCAGAAAAAAAACAGTCGGATTCGTATGGCGTCTATGATCATGATTGTTAAAGTTGGCACTGTTCGTTGTTGTTTGCATTTGAATATCCATCCATACATTTTCGTTCACTGCTTCATCCATTATAGGGGTTCGGGGGAACCTGAGCCTATCTCAGCAAGCAACAGGTCCAGGACAGGACACCAGGCCCTCGCAGGGCACACACAGACACAGACACGCACACCAGAGCCAGGGTTGCCAGAAGCTAATTAACCTTCCAGTACATCTTTGGACTGTGGGAGGAAACTGGAGCACCTTAAGAAAACCTAGGCAAAACATACAAACTCCATGCAGCCACACATTTAAAGGTTTTTCTTTCAGTATGAGCCAAGTTATAACAGTAGTGAAATGTTCCATAAGAATTACAGTGGGAGCTGAAATGGTCTGTGGACTGTATCCAAGCGGTCGATTCTAAATAGCCTTTGCATAGCAACATGGCACTGCTGTGCCAGTCTTGTTCTGACTTTGCTTATGTGGAGTTTGAAATGGCGGTTCTTTTTCCAAGTGAATCAATGCAGATAGGAGCATTTCTGTTCTGAGGAAAGGCTGATTCTGTTTCTGGGATAAAGATTGAAATGTGTTTAATGGTCAGATGCCTGTCAGTAAGATGTTACCTATTTTGTTATTATCAATAATATGAGTCAACAAGTGGCCTGATTATACCAAAATGTAAATTAATTACATTTGTCCTCCCTGAAATTATAAGGGCGCATATAGACAGTTGTGTTACTTGTTAGTTGTGACAATGCAAATGTGAAGCAGCAATATCAATAATTCATTTTTTACAAACAAGATTTGACTATGTTCTCTTCATTAGAAATTGGGAAACATAACAAAAGTGTCCGATTTTACAGTATGAGTGACCGTTTTGTGTAATATCTCAGCACTTTCTCCCAGATGAGTTTCAGAATTTATTTTGTGTGAAACTAGGCATGTCTCTCTTTTACTATCCAGCGGTTAACAATAGTACAGACTATTAACAACGGAAGTGCTGTGAGTTCTCACAAAAGAGCAGACTGCTGTCTTTTGTTTGTTTTTATTTTAATGATAGCAGTTGTGGTATACGACTGTCTTTGTATTGAATGGGCAGACTAATTGCGAGTGTGGCTACGTTTTGGTCATTTTTTCCTAATGAGCTACTTAAAGAGGTACAGACATACAGTATATGTACCATTAAATATACTTGGTGCTTATTGGGAAAATAGCCACGTAGGGGAGTTTAAAGTAATGTGTTCCTATGTGGCAGTGAAAAGCATCAGTTCAGTGGGATGTCTGGTGTTTGATCTGAATTGACAAGTTTTTGATGATCTACATCAGAGGTTCCTAGTCCTCGTACTGTTTTTGCAGAAAAAGTCTTAACTTACATTAATCCTGAATTGACCAAACAATATGCTTGGTTAGAACCTTTGTAAATTTCCCTTTCTACACAAAGGTTAAAGATTTTTAATGACTTAAGAAATACAGTACTTTAAATACAACTTCTTGCATGTTTAAGAAGTGCAAATCATTTTGTTCAAATCAAACCTATTATTAGGTCTTGGTGTACTCGGTTGAACAAAAAGACAGCAGGCATGGGGCTCCCTAGAATCACAACTGGGAACCCCTAATCTATCTGACTGTGAGGTTGTGTCCCAATATCTAAATGGCTATCATTTCTTTTGTAGGAGAATGCCTTCAAATTGTGGTGTTCTGACAATGTCAGTATGTCAAGGCAACCAGTTAAAAACACAGTGGAGGCTTTTTTAGGTATTTAAGCCAAGCTTAGGCTACATTCATGATCATGAATGTTTTCTCTCTGACAAGCACTACTTTACACTTATGTGAATGTGTGTGAACTGTATTTAAAGCATAAACACACTCATTTGTACTGCCTTTTTACATTTCTCCTGTGGACATCGCTAGGAACAATGTGATGAACTCTTCATGCAAGTGAGATACTTATTGCATTATTTAGTGTCAGGCTCATGGATTACACAGAAGAAGTGTCAGTTTTGTGGTAAGATGGCTTCAGATCACCTTGAAATGCTAAAGCCTTAAAGATTCACCGATATGTGAGTGAAAATGAATCTAAGGTTTCCTCAAGATAACTAATGTATTATACTGAAATGCTAGTCTGTATTCTACTCATTCTTAAAACATTTAGAAACATACAGTATATGTTATGCAATATAATACTGTAATATGGGCCAGATTTATTCAAGGAATTTGAAGTATTTTTCCACATGCTACAAGGTATTTGTTATCTGTGTGCTGGACAAAAACATATCTGCACCATGTTGTTTCTTTCAGAATACATTTTCTATTTGTCCATGAATTCATTTGAAGAATTAAACCAAATTGAGCCACTATATGTGTCCTATTCCCACTTTGCCCTAAGTGGTAGATGTGAACACATGAGCTCAATATTGGAACAGTGGGTCTATTGACTGTCTGAAATACACTGTAGTCTCGGATTTCTTTCAAATTTCTGTTGTCCCTTCCGTAAGAGTAATCTATTTCCTCTTTCTTTCTCCTTAAGGTTAATAGCTGTGAGACATCAAAGGAAGACGTAGGGTCCAAGTGTCATGCGAGTGTGGAAAGCCAGTCCTCAGAGCAGGTGCACAATGGAGATGTGGACAGTCACCCTGGGGACACTATTGCTGCCTCCTCCAAGCAGGGCAGGAACATCCCTGAAAACGGGGTCCCCAGAGAATCTGTCCGAAGGTCTGAAGAGCTTCCGGATCAGGAGGCCCAGGGACAGGGATACAGGAAGGGGAGACCAGACTCTTCCCTGGAGAATGGCTTTTCAACTCCCCCGGATGACCAGGACTCGGAGAAAGATGGGGAGCAAGTGCCACCCACTCCCCGAAAAAAGCGGGGAAGACGGAAACTTGAGCATCCCGAGAAACGTAAGTTAAAATCTGATTCCGTGCTTTTAAAGCTGCGGAAGACCTTGTGCTCTGTCCCTCGCTGGTCTTTGTAAACATGGAGACAGAATTAATGCTAAATACTTCTATTAGGTCTTTTTGTAATTCTAAAATGGATTGCTGATGTGGATGACTCTCCAACTAACTTATTTATCGTAGTTTAATACAAAATATTTTATGTGTACAGTCCAATGGCCACAGCGTTTACCACCCTTTAACCTGGTGTCATCACACCTCAGAAGCACAGCAGGCCTGTGCCTGGTCGTACAAAGGCAGAAGAGTTCTAGAGAAAACCTAGGTTGCTGCTGTAAGTGGTGTTGGTGAACCAGTAGGTAGCACTACTCCTTCTTCTAAACTGGTTCCCCAGTATGGTTGTTGTGCTTTGGATGAGACATTAAAGCTTGGGCCTGACTACTTGGTCATTAAAGGTTCTGCTTTGTTTGTAAGAGTTCTTAAGAGTTCTTAAGAGTAATAGGTGTTATAAAAATAATAATAATAATAATAATAATCGCTTACACTTATATAGTGCTTTTCTGGACACTCCACTCAAAGCGCTTTACAGGTAATGGGGACTCCCCCCCACCAACACCAATGTGCAGCTTCCACCTGAATGGCGCGACGGCAGCCATAGTGCGCCAGAGCGCCAGGATATTCAGTATCCTGGACACTCCCTCACTAAATTTTTCCATTCAGAAATTTGGTTCAGAAGGTTCTTGTGTCTCCACCCAGTCTGCTGTGTAGTGGGGATGCTTGTGCAGAAAGACTGGGTTCTGCACAGTGGTGGATGAAGTATGTGCCCTCATATATGTGAGGAACTTTGGAATCTTGTGTTATGATTCCATCATTCCAAAGATTTTTATGAAAATCATCATAAAAACACAGAGCATTAGTTATTAATTCATTTCCCATGACTTCTAATATTACATTGCTGTCCGTTGAGATAGAACACTTGTATTGATGCTATGGTTTTCAAGAGAGGTGGGCTTTGTTTTGTGTCCGTCCATTATGTTCTAAAGATGACAGTTGTGCTACAGTAATTGTGATACAGGAAGCTGTTAGTACTTGGTTGTGTCTAAAAACATTTAATGTATTGAAAAATCAGATAACGGTGTTGCCGTTACTAGAGTTAAAATTATAAACCCCTCACACACTTGCGTGTTGTACCCAGATAAGAATTCACTCGTGTCACACTATGAACAAGTGGGCTGGTCTCAGGTTCACAGATGTATAAAGTATACATATGCAAGAACCTACAGTATTTATACTGACCTTACTTCTTCTCTTATTCAACCCACAATCTGAAGTGGGTCATTGGTGGCCTGTGTTTGTGGAGTGAAGTTATTCAGGTTGCTTTGCCAGAGTGAAAGCCCTTTAGAAAATATGCTCAATGATGAACATTTGAGAACACAGCATTTAGTTAAGTCACGGACCTGCCAGGATTGCTATGGTAATTGCCTCCTTTACCAAACAAGGCTACAAAGCCAGCAGCATCATTTTGAAAAAAAAAATCTAATGATGAATGCTGATTCTGAGTTCATGCCCCCAATTTTTTTAATCATTCTAATTTCTTCTGTGCATCTGTTTTCTCTGTTAATTGTTCTTACAGATTGAAATGTGTGGAGCAATTTATTTGATAATGATAATTATAAGCACAAATAAGAACACTTTATTCCAGTTAAGGTCTAATGATACACTATCTTACTTTACTTTCTTTTATCTAGTCTGCAAGACAAATGATAGGAATACCTGTTTGGCATGGAAATAAATTTCTATTTTGTAGTTCATAGCCTTTCCAAGGTTTTGAGTTCCATTATTGCAAGTACACATTTATGCACAGTATGTGTGTGGTTAGCATTAGTTGGTTCCCTGAATTTCAAGCAAAAGCAGAAAGTACAATGTTTGCAACAAGCCTTTCAAGGCTCTTTAAATATTAACCTTTTTTTCTGGATTTAAGTAACTATTCTTAACATTGCAAAAAAATTTGGCACGCCTCTGAAATGACTCATTGAAGAAATCGAGTAACTAAGCACCTAGCGTAGAGCAGGATAGGATCTCTTTTTTTCATCAGTGAAAATTAAATATTTACTTTGTCTTTTAGAGTTTACTATAAGTTAATGAGTAATTTTGTCAGTAAATAACAACACAAGTTGGAAATTCAAGGGAAAATGTGAACAATAGCCTATCAAGCCTATTTTGTATACCAAAACCTCAAATTGTGTGTTATTCCAATGAAACTGTGGTCTTGTTACAAAAGTTGGATTAAGCAAATGATACATTACAATAAAGCAATATACAATACAACAAAAAGGAAAAGAAAACAAAATTATTGCTTTGTGTCATAAATAATTGTGCAAACAAGCAAAGACAGAGAAAACAAATGTTTCCTTTTCATTTAACAGATGGATTTAGGATTTGTTCTGTGTTCATTTAATTGAAAAATGTTTGTGGCTCATAATGGCATAACATTGCGGCTCAGAGTTAAAAAATAAATTGAGATCACATGCAGTGACTCTCCTTTTTGGACCGTCATAAATAAATAAGCATTAAAATAGTGAACAACAAAAATCCAGCAGCTTTATCACTTATAACATACTACTGTAGATGTTTGTGTAAGACAATGTCTTTTGAATTCCTAAGTGATAAATGAGAATTCCTCCTTTAGAAAATGGAATTAAGAGTGCATTAAACTATTTAAATAAGCTTTTGAGTTCAGTTGACCTCAAACTATGTTTCTAGGTTTTGGCTTGTAATGTTAATGTAATAATTAGTGCAGAAACATCTAGATTATGCATTTCATTCAGCACTCCCACTGCCCAGCAGATCAGGGAGGGAAGGGAGAAACATTTTCACCATGTCAGAATAAGGGCAAACATTAGGAAGACCAGCTTGTATAACCCGAGAGCGGAATTTAGCCAGTTGACACCCCTACACCTTGAAAAACTACCACTGGATCTTTAAATAGAAATATTGCTATTTAATGTGAATTGAAATAAGAGCTGCTTTCTACTTGATTGCAGTACTATAGTCTTATGCTCCATAAAAAAATGTTGTCCCCATATTCTAAAATATATACAGATATTAGTATGAAGTGACAGAAGATGCTGAAGAAGTACTGAATTTATTTTTTTAATATGCTTCGACTCTGCAATTAGTTTTTACTGTGCATCCTCCCCATTTGGAATCAGTAATAATTTCTTAGTGGGACGTCATGGCAGCGTTTGCTTTTCCTGAGAGCGGAGAGATCCCTGCTCCGCCCCCTGCAGTGCTGGGGTGCTGAGGTCGGTTGTGCGCCACCTCTTGGGGAGTCCTGCTCACAGTCAGCTAATGACAGGATCAGGGCTCGAAAGCAGAACATCTGGATCACAGAGCCCAGCATGAGCTTGGAGTGGGGTTTACTTGGGAGCCTGAGAATTCGCAGAGCCTTTGGGTTATTTGTTGTTTTCTTTTTCATCGAGACAATAGTATAGAAAAAAAACTTATTTCAGGCGAACCCTAGCTGCATTCTGTGACACAGACCCTGGCCCAAGTTTTTTTTTTCATATTCATATAGATGCTGTTCCATTGTGTAATAAAACATTGGACATGAGCTATGGAATTGCCACACCCTCTTTGTTAGTGGATATTATGTGATTGTCCTTTATTTATATATTCTACAGTGTACATACCCTTTAACTAGACTACTTAGTATTCAGATCAGTTCTTTAGGCATGGTTTGTTAAATATTTTGAGGTTTCAGATTGAAAAGCTGTTTAGTTTCACCTGAATAGATTATACTGTAAATAGTGGGGAAAGATGTCAGTTATTTTTAAATACAGTACAGTATAATACAAACAGACTTGTAATGTTTCACACTTCCCGGAAATGATTAAATTGTATATTAACATTACGGCCATTCCCTCTCGTAGGACGTGATGCAATTAACGTGTGACGTGTGACAGTCACCCCCTTCACTAATACACCAGTAACTGCTATTCTTCCAATCCATGTGCAACATGTAGTTGTGTGGTTCAAAATATATATACTGTATATTTTTACAATTCTGCTCATGCTTTTACTGCTACATCATCAGCTGCCATTTGGCAAAGTCTGACGGGTGTGAAATGCTTCACTTTTAATTCAAAATAATTCTCACCTTATTCTTAGTGTCTTAGCGTCCCCGACTTTTTTATCTATTTGATCTCTTTTATATTATAAGATAAAGTGGCAAAAAAATCTTCTGAAACTGAAGGACAAATCCATTACAATGACAGCTTAAATTCAATGGAAGAGGAGCTTCCCTTAATGCTTTTTTTTCTTTAAAGCTTTATCTTGAAGTGTGGGTGATGATTTGCGCGTCATTCCTGAGGTTTCCAAGGCTACCCCACTGTGCTGGCAAAACGCAGTACTTACGTCTTTGTTTGGTTTTTCGACTGAATGTGTCAGGGCAGTTAGGGAGATGCTTGACAGAGAAGATACTGACCAATTAAATCAGCCTGCAGTACTGCTGTGATTCTGTGAGAGTTTTGGAAGACCTCATTTTTAACCCTTTTGTAGGTGGTGGCTAATCCCGAAAATCACTTCCTTTTCTCACAGTTCATTAAAATTCTCTTGATCAAATCTGAGCACGATTTATCTGATTGGGGAAAGTCTCAGTCATTTTGTTACTCAGTTGACCAAGCAAGAAACCCATAAATCTACACAAAAACATACAAAAAATATATATTTATATGTGTTCTACATTATTTGGAAAGCTACAATGAACAAAAAAGATTGGAAAACTAGTGATTATTTAGGGTCAACTGTATGTCCAATTGCACAAATCAGATACATTGTTTAACCTAAACAAGGTTAGGAGAAAGAGTACCTATGTTTAATATTTGCATTTTATTCTGCATTCTGTTATTATTATTAATGTATTTTTGTGTATATCTACTTCTGGTATTGCCCTGCAGTCTCTGGATCAAGTATGATTTTGAATTCCTGGAATGATAACCCGGAGACTT